GCCTCTGGGCTGACGAGTTCCACATCAGCCCGGAGGGAGGAACTGGAAGCCACAATGGAGAGAAAGCTGGGGCCTGCCTGGGTGTGAAGAGGCTGTGGCTGCTGGGGACGCTTTCTGTCTCTCCATAGCCAGATTACTCACTAAGCCCCAGGGATGGGGAGAGTCCCTGAGGAAGATGGCCACAATCCTGCTTTTCCGCCTGACCCCAAAATTCCCTTAATTGGAAATTCGGTCTGAGCTTGAAACCCATCCAGGCAGCCACCCCCACCACCCATGGCAACATCTCCATGGGCACGCAGGACTCCTGCCTCAGACACACAAGGAATCCAATCCCACAGCAGCACTGCATGCAAGAGGCTGGATCCCAACTTCTCAGTCCCCAGCTCACTTCCCGGCTGTGGGCCTGGCAGCCTTCTCAGCGGGAGCTGGAAACCTCCACAAGCAGGGGCACAGGCATTGGCAGGAAGGACCAGGAGGGCAAGGAAAATAAGGGGGCATCCCTCCTTCTCCCCAAACCTCCACTTCCTCACCTTTGAAATCAAATGTTGTTAGATCGTAGCAATGATTGTCTTTACTGCTGGCTGCCCTGTGCCAAGCATTTTACAGGCATTAGCTCACCTACTCCTTCTAACCACCCTGAGGAAAGAGGATCCCACGGTCAGAGTGGTAAAGCAGCTTGGGCAAGGTCACACAGCTCTTCAGAAGAGCTGGAGTTCCAATTCATGGCCTTCTGAATCAAGAACCTAAGCTCCTTCCTGCTGTGCTCTGCCTAAGTGGCCCAGGGTGGCCCAGGACAGTCTGGGCTTACACTTGTCATAACCAGATACATTTAGTGTAATTATTTAAAATGTTCCCTTTGGAAGAAGGAGCAAATCTTCCATACAGAAGAATTTTAAATAACATAGGTAGATATTTCCCCCTCCAAAAGGTATAGCTGAATTCCAGATCCTTCTCCCTCTTGAGTGTGGGCTACACTGAGTGTCTGAATTCCAAAGGATGGAGCAGGAAAAGAGGAAATAGTAACTGTACATCAGAGAAATCTGGCCGACCCACCTTAGCCAAGTGATCAAAGTTAACATCTTCAGTTTATGAGAAACATATCAGACAAACCCAAATTGAGGGACACTCTACAAACTATCTCACCAGTACTCCTCAAAACTGTTGGGCTGGGCGTGCTGGCTCACACCTGTAATACGAGCACTTTGGAAGGCCAAAGCAGGAGGATCACTGGAGGCCAGGAGTTCGAGAACAGCCTGGCCAACATGGCAAGACCCCATCTCTATTAAAAATACAAAAATTAACCAGGTGTGGTGGTGCACACCTGTGGTCCCAGCTACTTTGGTGACTGAGGCACAAGAATCACTTGAACCCAGGAGACAGAGGTTTCAGTGAGCCAAGATGACGCCACTGCACTACAGCCTGGGCAACACAGCGAGATCCTGCCTCAAAAAAAAAAGAAAACAACAACAACAACAACAGTCAAGGACACACAAAAAAAGCAAAGAATGAGAAACTATCACAGACCAAAGGGAACCAAGGAGACCTGACAACTAAATGCAGTGTATGATCCTTCATGAAATCCTGAAGCAGGAAGAAGACATTCATGGAAAAACTAGTGAAACGCAAACAAAGTCTGGAGTTCAGTGAAGAGTAACGTGCCATGTTGGTTTTGACAAATGTATTATGATAACGTAAGAAGTTAACAATAGGGGAAAATGGGTAGAGTGTATGGGAACTCTTTGTATTCTTTTTGGAACTTTTCTGTAAATCTAAAATTATTCCCACCTGAAAGTTTTATTTTTAAAAAGCGCTCCCTTTTACTCATAGAAGTGTTCAGGTTTAGACAATAAATTATATGAACACCTGGTCATAAGCCTGGTCCTGCCCGTCTTAGACCATTCGTGCCACTTTAACAGGATACCTGGGACTGGGTCATTTGTAGGGGAATTCTAAGGTCAAGGCACCAATGGGTTCAGTGTCTGGTGAGGCCCTTATCTTCCTCCAAGATGGCACCTTGCACACTACATTCTCCAGAGGGGAGGAAGGCTGGATCCTCACACAGCAGAAGGTGGGAGTGCCAAGAGACAAAAAGGGGTCAAACTCACCCTTTTATAAGGGATTTAATTCCACTCATGAGGATGAATTACCTCTCAAAGATTAGTCTCAGAACTAATTACCTCTCAAAAGTCCCACATCTCAATGTTACAATGACAATTAAATTTCAACATGAGTTTTGGAGGGGATAAACATTCAAACTATAGTCCTCTAACCAAGAAGTTTTCAGAAAATCACCCATACCTTCTGTCCCTTTTAGTGATGCCAACTGCTCACACCTTTGTAGCAGTGTGAAGGTTACAAAGTTTAGCATTAGCAAGACGTGCTAGTTAAAGTTTTTGAATCAGAAAGCTAGAGGCTGACATCTGGGTTCTCCTACTTGCTTGCCAGGTAGTCCTGGGCATGTTACATTCGTTCCCTGGGCCTCAGTTTCCACATCTGTAAAATGAATTCATTGTATGATGACAATGACGAGTCATATTTATGAAGCCATGTCTGGTGTCCAGCACTGTGGTGGTGACTGTGATGGGCTGCCCAGACTCCCCTTCAGGGCTGACGGACTTATTTTTCCCACTCCCAGCTACTCAGAGAGTTGCCAGCTGTCAGCCCTCTCCAGGGATTGCCCTTGGCTGAAGAGAGCTGTCCAGCCCCAGTCAAGCCTCCTTCTGGAGGGTAGCCTGCATACAAATGCGGAGAGTATAAAAGATCCAGCTCCCTCATCCCAACTTGGGATGACTGTGAAGGTCATCTCCACTGCAGAGCATCCCTTACGGTTGGCTGAGGCTTTCCTGAGACTGCATTGCAACCCAGTGTCTCCCACCGCCCAGTCCGGCCTTCTTCCCCTCCCCACAGTGTTGATCCTGAGAGGGCTCCCTATACATTTCCTGCATGTTAATCTTCATCTCAAAGTCTGCTTCCCGGGGAACTCACCCCACAAGAGGATTGTGAGCCACCTGACCTGTACTGTCTTTCCTAACCCTTAGACCAACTTGTCTTTATAGATGAGATCATTGAGATTAGAGAAGAAAATGGATCTGGCCAAGGACATACAACTAAGAAATGGTGGTGCCACAGATGGAGAAACTGACACTCAGACAGGCCACTGATCTGCCCAGGTCAATGAGCTAAAAAATGGCAGGGCCAGGATTTGGCCATAGGCCTGCTTAACTCTGAAGACCATGTGCCCAGTCTCTGGCCCAGGCCATTTACATCCCCAGGAGGACTGCTACAGTCCCAGGACAGGTGAGTGCCTTTTACCACCCTCCTGCCAGACCACACTGCTGCTGTCCCTGCAGCTCGCTCCAGATTTGTAAAATGAGAATAAGAATAGTATCTACCTCTCCAGGACCTTGTAAGATTAAATGAGTTAATATAGGTAAAGACCTCAGAAGAGTGACTGGCACATACAGAATCCTATTTAAGCGGTGGGTTAAAAACAAATCATGTAAGTCATGTAAAGCTGCATCTGTGATGCACTCTAAGGACAGAACGGCGGCTGGCGATGGACCTCATCAGCTCTCTAAGGGAGTCGGGCTTGACCTGAGCTCTGAAGGAGGAGTAGAGGTTAAGTGGGTGGCAAAGGAACCAGTATGAACAAAATCTCTGTGACAAGAGGAACTAAAGAAGGAAGAACTAGCATAGAGGGGAGAAATATCCAGGCTCAGGGAAAGAATGATAAGAAATAAGGCTGGGTAGGAGGGTGGGAACCTGATTATAAAAGGCCACTCACTAACTGGGTGATTTTGGACAAGTCACCTTATCTCTCTGAGCTTCACTTAGCTCATCTGCAAAACAGAAATAAACATAGTACCTATCATAAGATTGTTAAAGGGACTGAGTGAGTCAGTATTTGTGAACCACTTAAAATTGTCTTGTACCTACTAGGTGCCATAAATGTTTGGAGACAACATTAGAACTTTATCTGAAGTACAATGAGAAGACTTAAAGGGGTTTGAATGTAGATGATAGGGTGGGTGTTTAGTAGATGGGAGGGTGGATGGATGCATGGGCAGATGGATAGGTAGGGGGAGGTGAATGAATAGAAGTTTGGTTGAGTGATAGAGGTGGCTGGCTGGATGGTTGGATGACCGGGTGGATGGGCAGGAGTGGAGGTTGTTCTAATGGACAAAAGTGTCGCTGGGTGGATAAATGGAAGTACTTGAGTGAATGGATGAGTGGCTGGATGTTAAGATGGGTGGCCAGGGAGCTGGAAGCAGCTGAGTGAATGCAGGTGATTGGTGGGTGAGGAGACAGGTGTGTGGATTGAAAGGGTATCTATATGTTTGAATGGGCATCTGGGTCGTTGGATGGGTGGCTGAGTTAATGGATGGATGGTGATTAGCTGGTTGAGTAGGTAAAAGGATGAAAAATTGAGTAGGTTGGATGGAACAGATGAGTAAATTTTTGAGTGAATGGGTGGTTGTTTAGGTAGACGTTAGGCTGTTGTCCAGGTGGATGTTCAGGTGTGACGGGGGACTGGAGGTGGTTGTGTGGGTGGAGGGGTTGTTCAGTGAGTGTTAGAGAAGTTAGTCAATGAAGGAATTGGGTGGATGTCTAGGTGGTTGACTGGGAGGTTGTATGGATAGATGGATGACTGGATGACTGGCTGGGTAAACAGGAAGTAGAATGGGTAGGGGAATGGAGTGGATAACTGGAGAGATGGTTGTTCGGGTGGATATTAGAAAGGTTGGGTGAGTGGTAGGGTTAAGTCAGCGGAGGGGCTGGGTGTAGTTGAGTGATGGATGGATGGACGGATGCATGGATGGATGGATGGGTGAGTGAACAGGAGCCATCAGCTCCCGAAGCGCCTCCAATTAACTCCCTGAAGGTGATGGGGGTAAAAGAAGCAGAATCAGGCTTGGAGACAGGGCCTCCTAGGTTGCCCTGCCCCAAGACCCCCTTCCCCGACGGGAGGCGACCCCTCCCCACCCCCACCGCTGTCCTACCTGGAGGCGGCAATCTCGGCCTTCTGGCGCGCGATGGCAGCGGCGCGCTGGGCGCCCTCCACACTGTGCTCCACTTTCTGGCGGACCTTGTTGCTCTTGAGCTGCAGCATGCGGCGCTTGGTGCCCTTGACCAGCACGTTGTGGCGGTACTTGCCCTCCTCGCGGTGGCCGTCGGGCAGCGTGGTGCAGCCATAGCCGTGGCGCAGGTTGTCTAGCCACTCGCCCTCGTAGCGGAGGCCGCTGGAGCGTTCGCTCACGCCAAAGCCCGAGCGCTTGTCGTTCTTCCACTCGCCCATGTAGGTTTCGGTGGTGGTGGCGTCGATGTCTGCCTCGAAGGGTGTGGCCTCGTCGGCGCCCTCGACGGCCTCTCCCAGGCTGGCGGTAGACGCGGCGTCGCTGGC